TCAGCAATACAGGGTTCACATTCATATAGAAAAGAGTGCCTACAGTGTTCAAGTATTCACTATCTTCAGCAATGCAGGGGTCACAAACATATAGAAAAGAGTGCCTACAGTGTTCAAGCATTCACAATCTTCAGCAATACAGGGGTCACATACATATAGAAAAGAGTGCCTACAGTGTTCAAGTATTCACTATCTTCAGCAATACAGGGGTCACATACATATATTAGGAGTGCCTACAGTGTTCAAGTATTCACTATCTTCAGCAATACAGGGGTCACATTCATATAGAAAAGAGTGCCTACAGTGTTCAAGCATTCACTATCCTCAGCAATACAGGGGTCACATACATATAGAAAAGAGTGCCTACAGCGTTCAAGCATTCACAATCTTCAGCAATACAGGGGTCACATACATATAGAAAAGAGTGCCTACAGTGTTCAAGTATTCACTATCTTCAGCAATACAGGGGTCACATTCATATAGAAAAGAGTGCCTACAGCGTTCAAGCATTCACAATCTTCAGCAATACAGGGGTCACATACATATAGAAATGAGTGCCTACAGTGTTCAAGTATTCACTATCTTCAGCAATACAGGGGTCACATACATATAGAAAAGAGTGCCTACAGTGTTCAAGCATTCACTATCTTCAGCAATACAGGGGTCACATTCAGGTGCTCTTGTAATGAGATTATCAGTAGTAATTGTAGTAGTAGTAATTGTTGTAGTAGAAGTAGTTGTTGTTGTTGTGGTAGTAGTTTTAGTGGTGGTAGTAGTTGGTGTTGTTGTAATAGTAGTGGTTGCTGGTGTTGTAGTAGTTGTAATCGTGGTAGTAGTTAAGCGGCAGTAGTAGTAGTAGTAGTATTTTGAGGAAAGTTTGTGGGAGACGTAGCATCACATCCAGTAGCAGCTGTACCAGTAGCAGCTGTACCAGTAGTAGCTGCACCAGTAGTAGCCGCAATGACGATGCAGCAAGTAGTGCTAACATCGGCCGAAGGAGGCGCAACCTTAACGCACTCCTCGCTCGTAAAGGTTATAACCTGTTCCATTGAATCCATCGCTACAGGCTGACACAGTGAACAGTCGTTCTTTGTACACTTTCCCATCTATAATGTATGGAAAGAACAAGGTATTAGTTTGTCAAAAGCATCATCATTACAAATCAATGATGTGAAAGGCTGCCAGGCCTGTGTAGCCAGAACACTATTTCAGCTTTATCGTGCTCCCGGGTGAAACATGCGGCTGTCATTATGGGAACGTATAACTAATAATCTTCCATTTTCGTCAATGGCCTGTCTCTCTACGCTTCAGCACACCATGTCGCGACAGTGACGAACTTATATATGTAATTATGGATGATATCATCTGTTGGAATGAACAAGAAATAGGTGGACTTTGTGGTTTATGGGAGCGGAAAATTGAGAGTTTTGACATTTTGTTGAGAAAGGTGAAGGCTTTGTGGATATGATCAGTGGCTGAACATGTATAAGGTATGAATTGTATGTGAAAAATGGAGGGTTAATGTGGTCATAGTAGGTGTTGTAATATTGTCAGAAGATGCATCTAGGGATTGAAAAATGTGAAAGTGCATCAGTGGTTTGAAGGTTTTCACTGGTGAAAGTATCACCCTCGATTATCCAGCGAACTCCATTTTATTACTAGCAGTATTTCCAGCAATACCACGGCGGAATGGGCGGAATTGTACCCATGTGGGGGTTCGAACCAAGGTCCTCCGCGTGACGAGCAAATGCACCACTTGTCTACCCCCACCCACCACTACTAAATTACGATAAATACGTATCGGATAAAGAATGGAGATACAATACTGTGGGTAACACAGGTGTGTTATAACTAGCAGTTCCAGCAAGATTCAAATCGTTTTACTAAAAGTTACGCGTGAAGGTCCGGGTTAGAATGAACCTTCAGTAACCCATGCTTGTCGTAAGAGGCGACTAACGGGATTGGGTGGTCAGGCTCGCTCATTTGGTTGACAAATGTCATCGGTTCCCATTTGCGTAGATCGATGCTCATGCTGTTGATCACTGGATTGTCTGGTCCAGACTCGATTATTTACAGACCGCCGCCATATAGCTGGAATATCGCTGAGAGCGGCGTAAAACTAAACTCACTCACTCAAAGTTATTGGTTTATATAAACCTAGCAAATACTTTAAATTTTAGCTGTGATTTCAAATTAAACCTAGCAAATTCTTATATCCCAGTTCTAATTTCAAATTACACCAAGCAAATACTTTAATTTTAGCTCTACTTTCCTTTTTTCTAAGTTTCACACATGGCTGTGCCTACATGATCTAGACCTCGACTTAAAATGAGGACCAGACCTTGGTGAAATGCCCCCTTTGACTTGGAATTTGATCCACATGTGAATAATTTATTTGAAATGACAGCACAATGCCTGTATTGAGACTGTTCCGAGAATTGCAGGGTGTAGCCTATGTTCCGGTAGGGATTTCTATTTCTATTCTTGAAGATTTTGACCGGACCACATAGAAGAAATAATTTAGTCTTTCTAAACAGTAATATTCCATTCTCCGCGAATGTACAGTTCTAACCAGTGGTGACAGTGGTCACAACATTATATCCACCCCGCTGAGCTGGTGGATAAACCTGAAAGGAACATTCTCATGTGTATAATATACCTTAATACAGTGGCACGATGACAGGGAAACCCATCACTAGACAATGCTCCTCAGTACGGTTATGTTTTATGCGGACAAGGTTGAAAGCTTAAAGCACAAGGACTTTACTGTTGACGCTTCAAAGGATCTGTGCTAATGATTATTTAAAGTGTAGTTCAAAGGCAAAATTTTAAAATGGGATTATTTGAAATCTAAATTAAATCATTGAACGAAAATGGGCGTCTGTTAATCCTAGTACGCATGTGATTTTTTATTGACATAGGAGCGAGCTGTGTGCATATAAATACAATTAATATGATAGAACACGTTTCAACAGTATACACTATTAAGCGTACGTCAATGGATGGGCATGTTTATTTATTGAGGTTACACAACTAATGTGTTAGGTTCAGTTCAGTTCAGTTTATTCTCAAATAACCACGTTTGGTGGTCCAGGAAGGATCGGGTACAGGATCAGGTAATCTGACTTGATGAATGTCAGGTGAGGTCAGATGAAATTGGGTTTAACGTCGTGCTTGAGAATATTTACCACTAAATTAATGTCTTCAAAGAAAAATGAACTTATGTCCGGATTCGAACCCCTTCTACAGCGTGATGAGCCAACGCTTAATGTAAGGACTAAATGTAAGGACTAAACCAAAGTAGATCCAGTTTATCACCAGCACCCGTCCTAGCCAGGTATAGCTCATATACAGCTCGGATATAACCAGCTGGCGTTTGACCCGCCCAGTTGTTGCATGTCTAATTGTGTGTTATGAACTACGGCTATAGCAAGCTAAAATTCGTAGTCCCTTTGAGTTCTCATAACCGTAGCTCTGTGTGGCGGTTGGGTAGCCTCACTCGCTCTCTCGCTCGCTCGTTCGCTCCCTCACTCACTCACTCACTCACTCACTCACTCACTCACTCACTCACTCACTCACTCACTCACTCACTCACTCACTCACTCACTCACTCACTCACTCACTCACTCACTCACTCACTCACTCACTCACTCACTCACTCACTCACTCACTCACTCACTCACTCACTCACTCACTCACTCTTTGAAACCATATAAACGCCCCTGATCTGCTCTGCCGACAAATCCTGAAGCATGGAATATTGCGGTGTAGACACTGGTTGAGCCTGTTCTGTGTTGAGTGTACACGAGATAATCTTAAGTATATACAAGCCGCTGACGAGTACCTGACCGAAATTCCAAACACCCTACACTGATAGTTATCCACCTGCTCCTTCATTCTGGCACGGATGTTGGATTTGGATGAAGTTCAGCCCTTTCAGTTCTCACATTTGGGCGTTTCTTGACCCATGTATTCTCGCAATTATACCAGTGTCTCATTATAGTTCTGCTTGCCTTGTGTGTACGACAGTTGAGTGTCATTGGGATAAGGCAAGGTAGGTGTTTTCGTCTGTGTCTTTTAACTCCGCACTCGGAAATGTCTTCAGCCATATGATGCTGGTCGAGGTGGCATTACAAGTCACCCAGCAGTCGTTGTAGTAGATGTAGTGAGTGAGTGAGTAAGGTTTTACGCCACTTTTTGACATTTGTGCCAACATTATCGCGGCTGGGGACACAAGAAAAGGGCTTCACACATTTTACCCACGTGGGAATCGAACACGGGTATTCGGCGTGAAAAACGAACGCTTAGCCACCTGACTATCTCACCGCCCCAGTAGATGTAACAAGGTGTTGTAGTAGATCACGTAGTGTGAAGTCGTAGTATCTCAGATTTACCCAGAGTCACTGACAACTGAATTACGCTAATCATATTGTGACGATACGTATCCTAACATTTCCCAAGGGAATGGGGCAGAATGGTTCACTTGACACATAAATATTCTCATCAGTCTAAAGCTCAGCTATTTGAAATACGCGAGTGACAGATATTTACGCTGCATGCATTGTGCAGCCATTCGGCGTGGTGATGGCGTTCATTGTTGTCACTGAATCGTGAAGACCTCTTACCCTGCACATGCGTACATTCCGATGATACAGATGTTTATGATATTCTAATGTACTTTATATCCAGATTTTTCAGTGCGTGTTTTACGACCATCTGAACATTAAAGCCATAAAAGCCCACGTGACACATGTCGTAGTTTTAACAAGAGCACAACGGGTATGGCGCTGACAAGCCTAGAATCGTAGTCAGTGCATGTTTAGGACTCGAACCTGCAATCACAGGTGTGAGGTGTCTATGTGTCACCTTGTCCGTGTCCTTTCTTTAAACCAGTTTAGAAAGCACGTCCTCCAGCCAACAATGTCTCCTCACCCAACATCATCTATCACCGTGATATATAGTTCTTGTCGTTGTCGTTAACAATGGCCTTTGTTTTCCAGATCTCGAGCGGTTTGTGACGTCACAAGATGGACGGGAAGGACGAGAACAATCACTTGGAGGCCATCAGCCGGGCGATGTACAAGTTCCGGGACTACGTCATCCATGTCATGTCATTCCTCATGTACAGATTCACACGTTCCATCATTGTCACGTTCCAGAAATTCACGTGGGCTGTCACGGGCGTGGAGCGAATCCGACGTGACGCCAAGCGGGGATTGCAGTTCAAACAAAGTGCGCATGTGCAGGAGATATTCTGGAAGCGGAAGTTCCTACCTACAACCATTGCGGACCCTAATAACTTTATCGCATTGCATAAAGGATTCAAACACCCGAATTATGTCCTCAAGCCTTTTGTTTCGCTATACTGCATGACAAAGGATGAGGCAGTGTTTGTAGAAACTCCGGAAGGAGTTAACATCTACCGAGACAAAATTTCAAGGACGTTATACGAGGCACAATTCGAGCATGCGACAAAGATGATAACGATGCCTTTAGCTTCCTTCCATAAAATCGCTTCTGATGTTGGGGACCCCCGAACGAGGGTCGTCTGGCTGTCCAGTACGGACCACTGCGGGTCGTCCCTCCTAGCTCAGGTCTTCTCCAGGGTTCCCGGGATGATGATCATCTCGGAACCCGACGCCATTACGAAACTTGGGTTCCTGTGGAAATACGACATTTTGAAGAAAGGAGAATATGGACAGCTTCTAGCTAGCGCAGTTCGTCTGCTCTGCAAACCAGACGACAGGGCGGGGATGATCTGTGTGAAAACCCGGTCATGCGCAACACGACAGGTCGAAGACATCGTCATGCTGTTCCCCAAGATAAGACAACTCTTCATGTATAGAAACAGCCTCAAGACACTCGTGTCATCACTTAACTTGCTACAAACAGACCCGGCAGCTAAGGCGATGCGATTCGTTATGGATAATAACATTCTATCCACAATATTTCCCTGTTTTAGGTCAATGATGTACAATTACTACGTAAGACTCAATGAGAAACAGATAGATTCTCTCAAACCATCCAAGATGTCTACCGTCGGCATCTTCACCGCGGCGTGGGCGGCCGCTGTAGCTAGAGTAGTTGAGAATAGGGAGAAGGGATTCCACATCATGCCCGTCCTTTATGAAGATATCATGAAAGATCCCAGGAGAAGTTGCGCCATTCTGTTTGACCGACTTGACATTCGCAAGGAAGCATTGTCGTTAGCTCTGGAGGCGTTCAAGGTAGATTCGCAGAAGAGTGCTGTGTATGGTTTAATGAACACGGATACCCGTCGCGCCATCCCACAGGAAAGTAGGATAGAGGCAGATACAATCCTCAAGAAGTACGGACTTCTCAAATTAGGGGAGAGGTTTGAGATCCCTGGTTTGATCAAGTTGGATTAATAACAATTAATCTTAAAATGCGGTTCTATTCCACAGACAGTGATTGCGAACGCTCAGGGCACGCCTTTCTGCTGTCGACATTTTATAAAATATTCCAACATCTGTCGGCAGCTTAGACATCTTGGACAAAGCGGACGCCCACCCTGATCCATGTTAAACAATCAAAAGCATCATCATGAAGATGTCAGAATCAAACCTCCTCGAACTGTGCCGCTACACATAACTACCGACATGAACTCTCGCTTTCAAAGTCTTGCTAATCATGAAGGCGTTCGAAAAAACATTGTCAGGAACAGGAACAGGCATCTTGAAACGTTAAGCATTATAACAATTATAGTTTGAGAACGGATTGTATGTTGCGAATATCTACAGACCACCTTTACCAAGTCATTCATCTTGAATCTAACGAAGTGATCTGTCCATTAGGACTGCATCAGAATTGCTACCCGAAGTATAGGAAGCGAAATAAGCCAAGCGTCCCAAGTGCCTACCAAAGAAGTCCCGGTCTCCAGGATGATGAAGATCAGGACCAATGGATACTGATAAAGCATTAGGCATCAGAAATATCCCACATGATCCCGGTCTCCAGGATGATGAAGATCAGGACCAATGGATACTGATAAAGCATTAGGCATCAGAAATATCCCACATGCTCCCGGTCTCCAGGATGATGAAGATCAGGACCAATGGATACTGATAAAGCATTAGGCATCAGAAATATCCCACATGATCCCGGTCTCCAGGATGATGAAGATCAGGACCAATGGATACTGATAAAGCATTAGGCATCAGAAATATCCCACATGATCCCGGTCTCCAGGATGATGAAGATCAGGACCAATGGATACTGATAAAGCATTAGGCATCAGAAATATCCCACATGATCCCGGTCTCCAGGATGATGAAGATCAGGACCAATGGATACTGATAAAGCATTAGGCATCAGAAATATCCCACATGCTCCCGGTTTCCAGCCCAAACCATTCGATGTCATAAATGATACTGAGACATTGCCTCCATGGATCATCATAATACATCAACTACCACTTGACAACGAAGAAACTTGACTTGATTTGCTGATACTACTAAATGAAGTCGAGTGGCCCTTTAATCCACGTCCACGTGTCGTTCGTTGTTTGTGTGTGTAGGATAGCGATGTGGTGTGTTGTTGTCATGCAATTGTGGAACAATGTATGGAGACGTTTAGAAAATATGTTGGAACGTGAAGATGTCTTGGAAGAATCTAGTCCCCACATGGAATGGTATTCCTAAATTCATCAGGTGGTCACGTTCATTGACTTAGTTGCCCATCGGCCCTGCGGCATGCTTATAGTATCAATCACTTGGTTTGTCTGGTCCAGATATAATAAAGGCCTTCGTTATATTATGGAGTATTGGATTCATGCAAAGGGCACATTAAAAGTCACATTTCGAACTTTCGGGATTTAGTTTAGTTAGTTTTTCATTATCGGAAAAAACGCCGCTTGTAGCAATCTTGCGAATTATATATCACATCCGCAGACACCATGGAATAGGCTTCATGTATTATGTGGGAATATTAGGTTGGAACTGAACTCTGGCGAACAAACGCTTTAACCGCTATACCACCCAATCGCACGAACGTGAATAACAGAAGGCATTCTGTAAAGATTCAGAGAAACATTGTAATTCCCCTGGTTAAACTTCATGATGGATGGTTATCGTTGTGGTCACTCCGAAGTCCCAACATGGGTACAACTTGAAGCTCATTTCTGGTTTCCTCCGCCATGATATTGCTGGAATATTGCTTAAAGCGCGTAAACTCTAATCACATGCACCCGTGGGGGCGGTGGGGTAATCCCCACATGGGCACAATGTGTGAAGCCCATTTATGGTGTCCCCCCGCCGTGATATTGCTGGAATATTGCTAAAAGCGGCGTAAAACCCAACTCACTCACTCACATGCACCCGTGAAGATTCGGGTTAGAATTAATATTGGTCTTCAGTAACCCATGCTTGTTGTAAGAGGCGACTGACGGGATCGGGTGGTCAGACTCGCTGACTTGGTTGACACATGTCATTGTATCCCAATTGCGTAGATCGATGCTCATGTTGTTGATCACTGGATTGTCTGGTCCAGAGAAGATTATTTACAAACCGCCGCCATATAGCTGGAATATTGTTGAGTGCGGCGTTAAACAACAAACAAACAAACAAAATCGCTTGCAAACTTCTAATGTTTAGTCCGAGTGATTGGTTGCCTGAGAATTGACGTATGCTTGAAGTACCGTGTACAAATTAACGTGTTTTTCAGCAAGTTGGTCTCTTGCTATGCGAACCCAATGTAAAGTTCAGCCAGTTGATTTATAACATAATTATATTAGGATGACACTCTCTCGATAAATCACAAAGCCTTGTGCATTCACAGTTGGTCTTTTGATGTGCGAATTCGAGAAAAGTCTTTCTTTGTTCACATACCACAATTGTTCAGTGACACGCATTCATCTATTCTTGATTGCCAGATATATATACTTACATAAATCTGAAATGTTCCAAAGTCCGCATTCATTCAGATGTTATCGCTATCCGTTACTAAATGTGTCGACCACACTAAGAGTGTGACGGGGTTTACTGAAACCATGATCACGTGACACCCACCCATGCACCGCCACCCCCACCCCAGCTAGTCATAGGTGCCAATCGTTCCTTTACATGGTTCTAATATAATAGAACTTTCTTCTATGCTCCACATGGGCACAATGTGTTAAGCCCATTTCTGGTGTCCCCCGCCGTGATATTGCTGGAATATTGCTAAAAGCGGCGTAAAACTAAACTCAGTCAGTCAGTCAGTTCTTCTATGCTGATCATGAATACATTAGACCATTTCAGGTCCATCTCTATCTTATACAACATTATTTCATTTGGTAGCACCATGAATTCGCTATACAGAATTACGTCCCTTGGCAACGCCAGAATCCTATGATTGTGGGTTCGAATCCCCGTTAACCCTGATCATATATCTAGGTCTGTCAGCACCATACCATGCTGCTGGGTTTTCCCAAAATTTAAACGTCCAAGATCTGCATTACTTCGGGTTTCCCTCCCACATTAAGCTGACCACGTGATATAACTGGAATACTGTTTAACGAGGAGTCAAATCAAACTCACTCACTTTTATGGAAGCGTTTTAGGGTCTTATTGTTTTCATCATGTATTTAGATGAAAGTAGCATCTAATCAAAAATTCAGTATCTTCTACGTAGATACAAGTAAATTACGACTGGGCTCCTGTAATCAAAACTTCAGTATCTTCTACATAGAAGTAAAGTATCTTCTACGTAGATATTAAAAATGTTTTAGACTGTGGCACTAATACGCTTCCATACATTTTTCAAAACAAAGGATATAAAGCATTTTCTGCCATTTTTCCTTGTCTGAAAGTTCCAAACATGTTGCTTAACATCCGTACGAAAAATTCCTGGTCACCCTTGTACAAGCATAATCATATGTATATGACGAGCGAAGAATGTGTGTCTCGTAACCTGGTATCGTAATTGTACATTAATTATATCACTGATAACCATAATTAGCGACATTCTGAAGTGTGGTATCATACCATTCCTAATTGCTATTTTGTTCTCATATAATTGTGTCTAATTGTGTTACGTGTGTCAGATGTATTGCATCACTTGTGTCTGTGTGTGTTGGTTATTGTTGCTTTCAACATGAAAATGAATGTGTTGACATGTTATTTTGTAACATATGTTTGATATAAAACTGACGTTGTAAAAGATGAATCGGGTTGTGTGTTTTTGAGTTGACATTAATTTTTAAATGTATGCTCCCCAGGGAGTTGAGATTGACAATACGATGTGCCGTTGAGATTGACATCCAGTGAACGAGGGAAAAACTAAGCGCCTTTGAGCATCTGAGCTGAGCTGGATATCGGCGCTATACAAATGTTAGAATGTAATGTAATGTAATGTAAAAAGGATTTAATTCAAGTAATTGACATTATTTTAAAACGGAAACACTTTAAAACAGTACCACTTTGCTGTTTACTATAAACGCTTACTTCAGTTAACATATGTGGCCTCTCTCATGTACAGAAACCTTCAGAAATGTACGAAATAGAAGTACAACGCTTTTTTCATTGTTAAATGGATGGGAATGCGTGCTGCAATAGATGGCTGAAACCGTGATTTAGTTGGATTCGAACAGGGGAAACCTGGGCTACTTACCACTCAGGAATGATTTCTTGTTGATGACCTTTTACCCCATATCCAAATATTGATAAATGTGCCAATCGGTAAAATGAAAATAACACACAAATCTAGTGTAAAGTAAATATTAACAAGTAGAGAGTGAGTGAGTGAGTTTAGTTTTACGTCGCTTTTCAAAATATTCCCGCAATATGACGGTGAGAGACACCAGCAATGGGCTTCACACAATGTACCCTTGTGGAGAATCGAACCTGGGTCTTTGGTGTGATGAGCGAACGCTGTAACCACTACCGGTTATATCGCGGTGTTTCAACTGCGTGCAGGAGTAAAGCCCGACGTGAGGCAAGTCCTAGACGGGGTGAAAACGACGAACGCGGGTATGGCGCTGGCACCCAGAATCATAAGTGGGCGGAACGGGCTTCGAACCTACAACCGTAGGGTGTCTGGCTTGCCAAACCTGGGTGAAACCGACGAGCACGGATATGGCGCTGACACACCCAGAATCATAACAGGATTCGAACCCACAACCGTAGCCGTCTGGCGTGCCAAAAGAACACAACTCTGCATAGCGAATGGCGGCATCACAGACGATTTGACCATGCAGCAGAAATGAGTGGTAACGCTAGTTATTTACAGTGTCTTTAAACATTGCGTGTTTTCGCATTTGCGTACATTAATATATACTAACAGGTGAGTACGTGACGGCCATAATTTAGAAATACTCATGCGACCAAGGACACAATTGTGTAAACATGGTTTTGTGACGTCTTTGAGTGGCAGTTGAGTGGCAACATAGACATATTTATGGATAACAACTTCTTTATTTCCTGAGTGCGACATTTCTTGTACCGTTGAACTGCTTGTGAACTGCTTGAGTTGACAACAGTACTAGAATCTGTATCGAAATGTTGCACTCACGAAATACAGAAGCTGTTAGCCATAAAGTGTGTCGATATGGTTTTTGAGTGAGTGAGTGTATGATATGGGCCACTTGCAGAAAGCGATCTTAGCGTTACGGCGCTCGTAACTCCCTTACTTTATCAGAGACATCAGATAGTCGTAGCTGAGAAGGCTTTGCGCAAGTGGCCCCTGATCTCTCGAGTGAAAATCGGTCATTCATGTTTTTTCAATATTCAGTACCTGTACTGCTGAATAGGCTTCAGTTAAGATCACCTCAGCGAGATAACAGTGCGTCTCCTTGAAAAGCGCATTGTCGTCGCCCCGTTTCATGTAACGGAAGCTCTAAAAACGACGAGGTGATACGGGGGTTAATGTTTTTGTTTGTTTGTTGCATAACTTTCCTGCTTTGTGGTGGCGGTCTGTAAACAATCCAGTCTGGGCCAGACAGTTAAGGGATCAACAGCATGAACATCGATCTACGCAATTGGGTCTGCTTGGAGCGGTCGATGGGCGGAACCCGAAACTTCATCATATCAGATGGTAAAATATGCTACTTGTTTATGCCATGCCTATTGCTAGCGCTGCTTTAACAGCATAAAAACAAGGGTCATTGGTCTGAGTCAGTATGTTATCTAGCCAGTACAGTATTGCAGTCCGGATTAGTAAGGGCAGCAACACAAACGTGCTTGCTCGTCTCTTATATAATGCTTGTTGTAAGAGACGGCTAACGGGATCGGCTGACGGGATCGGGTGGTCAAATCCAAATCCAAATGCGTAGAGCAATGCCCATGACGTCAGTCACTGGATATATATAGCTGGAATATTGCTGAGTGCAGCGTAAAATTAAAGTCACTCACTCACTCCAAGCAGACGCTCTATCCACTCAACCATGGAAGTGGTTTCAAGTCAAGTTCAACTGCAAGTGTCAATGTACTGTTTCCTTCATTTCTTCTATTGTTTCAGGGGGCGGTGGGGTAGCCTAGTGGTTAAAACGTTCGCTCGTCACGCCGAAGTCCCGGGTTCGATTCCCCACATGGGTAAAATGTGTGAAGCCCATTTCTGGTGTCCCCCGCCGTGATGTTGCTGGAATATTGCTAACAGCGGCGTAAAATCAAACTCACTCACTCACTCTATTGTTTCAGCGCTCACTGTAATCTGTAACACCCTTATCAAACTATCTGGGCCCTGTTTCACAAAGCTATCGTAGCGCTACGACCGTCGTACCTCTTATACTATAACATAGACTTACGACAGCCGTAGCGCTGCGATAGCTTTGAGAAACGGGGCCCTATCTTCCTCTAGCTTTTGCTACTAGTCTAGTCCCTGTTATCACACTTGTTGAGGATTTATGGAAAGTTTATGGGGCATTGTTGCGTCATTTTAAATCCTCCGCGTCTCCCAACGTAAAACTATTTTTCAATTTTCCGTGTCTCATAAAACAGACCCAGTTTTCCATACTTGACAACTGACGAGTTAAAAGGCAGATTCATGTGCGGTCCTTGTAAAGGGTCCCTGAGGAGCCAAAAAGCGAGTGATAACAGTATCCTTTGTTGGGAATGGAAACTAAACTTTTTCAGGCCGAGTCACTTCAATTAAAAAGCATTACCTCCCCCGAGGGTTTGAGACCGCCTCCGTGGTCAAGTGGATTGGGGCTTTGCACCGAGAGCAGAAGGTCGGGGTTCGATACCGGCAGCGTCAAACCAAAACATATTTGTTATTACCCTGTCTTGCGCTCAGGATTATGGTGAGTGAGTGAGTATGGTTTTATGTCGCTATTTGCAATATTCCAGCAATATCACACCTGAAATGGGCTTCACACATGGGATAAAACAAGGATTCGCCTCCCCACTTTTGAGAATATCATGCCCTGGAAAACTAAATATCTCAATGTACCCTTCCAGCCCTGTAACAATGACAACGACTCAAAGTCTCCCCATAATATTTTGTGCAACCTAGATACGGTACCCCATGGAAATTTAACATAGCTAATAACTGATTTCTCTCTGTGTCTCTTACAGTGTAACAGGTGTCTAAAGTGCCGCGCTTGTTAGCGAGAGGTGCCTGGATCGATCCCCACTTGTGACCGGGTGCTGGATCGATCCCCACTTGTGACCGGGTGCAAAAACCTTGGAGCTAACATTACTTTCAGTGTTGTCACAACCCCTAGTGTGCAGTACACAACCCTGTGCACTTAAAAGAACCCACTAATCCGATGGTAGGTGACCAGATGGTGGACACACGAACACATGCAGACACCTAGGTACGGGTATAGTAACGTGCAGTATCAATGGACAAAATACTGTGACTATGTGTCCCAGTTCACCCAGCTGGGTACCTTGTGAGGACGTGTTTGTGTTATTGCGCCTAACAGGCTGCACGAGTTGAATACTCCCCAGGGAGTTGAGTTGGTTAAAACAATGCCAGAAAAAAAGACATCCGTTGATCAGGGGAACACTCCAGCACCTTGAGCATGTACTAGTTGCGTGGATATGTGCGCTATATAAATATCCTATAATATAGTAACAGAGATACTCGTGCGTGTCTGTATTCATTTGTTATTGGTTTCCCAACTCACAGTTACTACCTCGGTTCAAAATGTGTGTGATAACAAGGTGTGATAACGGCGCCGATTCATTTGGATTCTCAGGATCTGCATATTTCAGATACAACCAAAACATTTTAGACATTGTTATGACAGTTGTCAGATATGTTGATGTAAATGATAACTAAATTTTATGTTCAGCTCAATGCATCCATCTGGTTAACATGTATTGAAAAAGATGATATCAGATGAAGCATTATATGAATATTTGAACATGAGCAATTCTTGGACCCAAGATGATGATTGGATGACTGACTGAGTTTGTTGTTACGCCGCTTTTAGCAATATTCCAGCAACATCACGGCGGGGACACCAGAAATGGGCTTCACACATTGGATGACTGGATGATGATTAGATCAGCACCACACATGAAGTTGGACAAGCATAAATACATGACACGTTTTTTGGATAGCAACATCTTATTATTTATTACTATGTTTCAGAGTTATTTCTTGCTCCATCAATGGGTAAATGCTGACTCATGATGACGGTTTAGAGATTTCCGACATAATGCAGATTTCACAGACCGCGTTGCTGTCCCTCTTGGCTTTATCATTATATTGATATCTGTGTACATTCTCCCACCCTGCGTTCTGCAAACAGGTTCTCTCTATATTGTATTAACTCTTTGCACTTACTCAGCTTTTCCAAATTTCAAAAATTCATACAAATGTAATTATTCAACCCTAACGTTCCCCTCACGTTGCCATATGTTCCGGTCAAATCACCCTCTTTCGATCAAACACTACTTGACCTGGTGGGCCTGTGTGCAAATTACGCTTTTTTGTCGGAAAGCGCACGTTAAATCTCCAAATCATCGTCATCATCATCATCATTATTATCATCATCATCATGACTCATCATTCACCTGATGAAGCAGCAAGAATTAGCTCTCGAACGTCGTAATAAAGACTATAATGAAGTTGTTATCCATAAAATGTCGCATGTTTTCAATACCACACTTTGCAGCAAAATTATCAAAAGTTTACCTTAAAACATCTGTAATTTAAAAATATCGGCTTTTTTAAATCCATTAGACAAACGTTAGTATACTTGAGAGTCAGAAATTAAAAACAAATTGCCACCGTAGGAAACAAAACAACGCCTGTTTCCACCCCACTATCTCCCGGTTTCTTGTAACGTTCATAATTGACATCCAGTGAAAAAGGCCCCCTTATATTACTTCATCCACCGGAATTTCTGAAAACATGTCATATCTGTCTCATCTGGAACAATGCGATGACTCTTATACAAAATGAAAGCTGAACATTTCAAGTTTTATTGCTGTGGAAATTCATCTGTTGCATCTATGTCGACTTTTCATAACCAACAAGGTCACAGATCTCGAACTTGAAACGTCGGTCTCTGAAAAGTGAAATAAAGTCAGTGACATTTACGTGTGTATGTTTTGTAAACTGACCATAGAGAACGAATTCATGATAACGTGAGTGAGTTTGGTTTTACGCCGCATTTAGCAATATTCCAGCAATATCACGGCACGGGACACCAGAAATGGGCTTCACACATTGTACCCATGTGGGGAATCGAACCCGGGTCTTCGGTGTGACGAGCGAACGCTTTAACCACCAGGCTACCCCACCGCCGCTAAGTGATTAAAGAACAGTATCGCGGAATTAATGTAGGAAAAATAGAAGTTGTGATCATGCTTTATTTATCATATATGTATTGTAGTTTATTTTAAGAAAGCAACTGAACCTCTTTTTATAGTATGTTTAACACGGAACAAATTAAAAAGATACTCTTTATCATTCACATTTTGATTCTTAATACTTACATACATGTATATTTTTATGTTGCACTTTATATGATACTATTGAATAACAGTGTGCGTCTGTGTGTGTGTGTGCGCGCGTGTGTGTCTGTGTCTCTATGTGTGTCTGTGTCTCTCTCTATATGTCCATCTGCGTGCGTGCGTGCGTGCGTGCGTGTGTAACGTTGTTGTAAATAAAGGTGACTCAACACTGCAGAACTACATACAGTGAAGCGTCTGTAAAATATCCACGTGGAGTGGAAGCGACGCGCCAATAATATCGCTATCTTCCCCTAAACCACATGCGCATGAAATAGAAGTAATAAGTTTAAAAAGAACTCACTCTTCCTTGTTCTCGTGGTAGCTGTCGATGCCGTGCATGACTTTCCCAGAAGGCACAACGTAGTCCATGTGTTCGTCGAAGTTGTTGACGTAGGGCGTGAAGTAACAGGACCCAGTTATGTAGTCTGTGATGAAGCATTTGAAAATAATATTGTTAACAATAACGATAAGACGACGACGGCGATGATAATGATGATGATGTCGACTACGACGGCTATGATGATGATGATGGTGGTGGTGGTGATGATGCTGAGAATGATGATGGTGATGATGACGGTGATGTTATTCTTATTTTGGTTAAATGGGTGAGTAAAATTCACGTCCATAAGTGAGTGACTTCACACATTGTGCGCATGTAGGGAATCGAACCCGGGTCTTTGGCGTGACGAGCGAACGCCTTAACTACTAGGCTACCCCACCGCCCCTAACAACGCCATGACATTAGTCAAGACCATAACACAACGACTATGATGATGATGATGATGATGATGATTGAGTAAAATTTGAATGATTTGAACCCAACTTGCTACAATTGCTAGTGGTCCTCGCAGCGTTAAGCCTCCACAATTACCTGTTACTTTGCAGCAATAGAACTTGAAGCGACGGTCTTCATAACGGTTGTCATGGATACTACTGATTCCCGCTATGAGGCCATCATTTGCACATTGGAAAGTCAAAGGTTGATCAAATTCATTTTCGTAGTCTGTAAAATGGAAAGCATGTGACACTGACAAAAATAGATAATAGTGTTAAAGATTAACATCCTTTTAATATGCTTCGTGATCGATGAAGGTTATATAACTATCGCAGAATCTTTGAGAAATAGTCATTGATTTTTAATTCAAACTAGCATATTGACTTCCATATTGTTAGTCATTTTCACTTTTCTGCTATGTAGGGTTTTTCTAAAAGGTTTTACGAACTCAACACAGAAGTCTGTTCAGCGCTAAATTGCAGTCTTTTAACTAATTATGTTGAAACATTCAGTTTCAGATTTACAATCGCAAGAGACAATACAGCTGCGAACTAAGGGGCACCAGTAAGTACCAGACTGTATAGTACTGTCCAGATTGTGTCACTATCGAATGTCTTGAAATAGGCCTCTGTCTGTTTTTATATCCGGAAAAGTGATTTTCACAGGAATTCAGGTAGATCACACGCATGTAAAGGGTTTCCAGTTCTGGCGTCCCACTTTTACATGCATACAGACAGCTTTCTCGAAACGTCCCCATTCAGAAATTTCTCAAACGATCAAGCCTGCCATGGTCATGTTTACTCAAAGGGAGATAACTCTAATTAAATGCTTACTGCAAATACCAGCAACGGCAGCACTCAACATTTTACCACTGCTTCAAACCCTGTTACACACGTCCAACACGCAAGGTATTCTGAAGACACTTTTACACGTGGTAATGTAGCAATGGTGCCTCTTTATTGATTATACATTTGACCAATTATTATGCACGGACATTGGAAGCATAGAGCCATTTGTAGAACATGAACATGGATGTTTGTCAGTTCCCAGGTAACAATTTCACGTTGTTACAACGCTATGCTTTCGTTGTTACAACGTTATTCTGTGGACTCCCATTTACATTGTCACAATGTTGTGGCCTGACGTTGTGATACGTCAGTTTTACGTCGCCACAAGGTTAAGTTATTTGATGATAATGTATTTTACGTTGTCTTACGTTCTATTTAACGTTAATCGTTGAATAGTTTTCCCAGTAGTGAACAGTACATAAGAAACAAAGCGACCTTCATTTCAATGTTTATTAGTAAATTTGCATGTTGTTTTCGTCCGTTTTCTGAAGTTGTAGTTGAATAATGAAGAAAGAATCTCAAAGAGTAAAGTTTACAGAAAATTTCGTGACGAGTTATAAGAAACGTTGTTATAACGATGTGAGGAGCCCAAAGCAACGTTCCCTCAACGTAAATTTGTAACCTTGTTATAACGTTGAGACATAATGTGACAGAATAACGTACTACTAACGTTGTGACAGCGTTGTGTCATGACGTTACAGAATGACGTACTACTAACGGTGTGACAGCGTTGTGTCATGACGTTACAGAATGACGTACTACTAACAGTGTGACAGCGTTGTGTCATGACGTTACAGAATGACGTACTACTAACGTTGTGACAGCGTTGTGTCATGACGTTACAGAATGACGTACTACTAATGGTGTGACAGCGTTGTGTCATGACGTTACAGAATGACGTACTACTAACGGTGTGACAGCGTTGTGTCATGACGTTACAGAATGACGTACCACTAACGTGGTGACAGCGTTGTGTCATGACGTTACAGAATGACGTACTACTAACGTTGTGACAGCGTTGTGTCATGACGTTACAGAATGACGTACTACTAACGGTGTGACAGTGTTGTGTCATGACGTTACAGAATGACGTACTACTAACGGTGTGACAGCGTTGTGTCATGACGTTACAGTATGACGTACTACTAACGGTGTGACAGCATTGTGTCATGACGTTACACAATGACGTACTACTAACGGTGTGACAGCGTTGTGTCATGACGTTACAGAATGACGTACTACTAACGTTGTGACAGCGTTGTGTCATGACGTTACAGAATGACGTACTACTGACGTTGTGACAGCGTTGTGTCATGACGTTACAGTATGACGTACTACTAACGTTGTGACAGCGTTGTGTCATGACGTTACAGTATGACGTACTACTAACGTTGTGACAGCGTTGTGTCATGACGTTACAGAATGACGTACTGCTAACGGTGTGACAGCGTTGTGTCATGACGTTACAGAATGACGTACTACTAACGGTGTGACAGCGTTGTGTCATGACGTTACAGAATGACGTACTACTAACGGTGTGACAGCGTTGTGTCATGACGTTACAGAATGACGTACTACTAACGTTGTGACAGCGTTGTGACAATCTACAACCTTCCCAAAACGTTGTGTGCCAGCTGGATTTGTAGTGTGGTTTGGTTGTTTCGTTAACGTTGCAGTCAGTGAGTGAGTTTAGTTTTACACCGCAGTCAACAATTTTCGTAGGTATTTAGTAGGGTTCATGTATTCTTTTGTTTGGGAGTATATACTCTCTGAACAAAGTAAGGGTATTCTAAAATATAATTCATTCGTTTATTGTTGTTTATCGCCAGACTCAATAATATTCCAGTGTTAGGACAGCGGTCTGTAAATAATGGAGTCTGGACCAGACAATCCAGTGCTCAACAGCATAAGCATCGATCTACGCAATTGGGATACGATGGCATGTGTCAACCAAGTCAGCGAGTTTGACAACCCGATCCCGTTAGTTGCCTCTTACGACAAACAGCATGTTGGGTTACTTAAGTGTTGAATAACATCTTTTAGTATACGACGCCTATATAGGTCATGTCTGTTGACGATTTTAGCCACCAGTGTGGGTCATCTGTGTCTAATGGCTTACCTGTTTGTTGTACCTGTTTGTTTGCTTACTCATAATAGCTTACCTGTCTATGGTAATTTACCCGACTACAGTAACCTACCCGTCCAAAGTAACTTACCTGTCTACAGTGTCTTGTCTGCCACGTCGACTTACGTTTTCAGCGTGCCTGTATTGGATTACCTGTTCAAAATGACCTACCTGTCCAGTCACACACGGACATGTTGAGACCGGTCTTCGGTGGAGCTCCACATTTGAAATCCCACACTCGGTCCTCAAAGTGGTTGTCATGGCTACTGATCACGTGGATCAAGGATGTATCAGGAGGACATGTGAAGTTGAACTCCTGATCGTACTGGTTGATCCAGGCCGTCACGTGACACACCAGAACGCAGAGGACAATCTTAAGCAGAGAATACAACTTCGTTGCTGGCAGTTATTCATGAATACATCATCTCAGTCGCGACAAGATTATACCAGGGTACGGGGGCAGTGGAGTAGCTCAGTGGTTAAAGCGTTCGTTCGTCGCGCCGAAGACCCGGGATCGATTCCCCACATGGGTACAATGTGTGAAGCCAATTTCTGGTGTCCCCCGCCGTGATATTGCTCGAATATTCCTAAAAGCGGCGTAAAACTAAACTCACTCACTCGTGTGGGACGTCGAGATGTACCGCCTTTTCGCACAGCTTATGGGCCATAGCATGATAAGTGCTATTTAAAAATTAAAAAAGAATACTGCACTTGTTTGTCATGTGATAGATAGTTGTAAATATGCATATGGGCCATAGCATGATAAGTGCAATTCAAAAATTAAGAACTTTGCACTTGTTTGTGTCACGTGATAGGTACTTGTAACTGAGTACTTGAGTTGAATGTTAGGCAGTTGTATTTCTTCTCATACTTTACATACCAGTGATCTGATTCACCCCTCGAAGCACATGCAAACTGTAGCGCAAATAGGGTTGCGCAAAAAAGAGAAAATGACCAGTCTTCCTATATGCGAGCGAAGCGAGCAATGCGCGTATATAGGAAGACTGGTCATTTTCTCTTTGTTGCGCAACCCTATTTGCGCTACATTTTGCCTCTGCTCGCATTAAGACCGGTTTTATTGTAATATATTGATTATCCATCACGTAGTCTGGGTGTTGCCTTTTTTAAGCAAGTGCTACCCATGTAAGAAGAGGAGGAATCTGAACACCTCTAAGCACATACACCATAATGGACATCATTACCCCGGATAACCAGATCTCCCTGTGATGCACTAGAAGGTTAATAGTCATATGACTCATACCACCGGGTACCCATTCACTACTGGGTGACCAGAGGCAATTTTGAACAAACCGACTTGTCTATTGTCGGTCTACGTTTTCAGAGGGTATTACTGTCAAGCCCACATTCTCAATGCGCGTCTACGTATTACACATACATCGTGATAGGTTTGGTTTGGTTTGTTTTACGCCGCATTCAGTTATATACCAGCTATATGGCGGCCGAGTCGGGACCAGACAATCCAGTGATCAACAGCATGAGCATCAATCTACGCAATTGGGATACGACGGCATGTGTCAACCAAGTCAGCGAGCCTGACCACCCGATACCGTTAGTCGCCTTTTACGACAGGCTTGGGTTACTGAAGACCAATTCTAACCCGGATCTTCACGGGTCATCGTGCTAAGGACCATTTATGTTTATTAGACGTATAGAAATGTACCTACCGTTCTCAACAACTTCATGGTGCGTATATGTCTGCTACCAAGTGTGTAGATAAGTAACAGGTTGTTACACGTGTAGATTTATTTTGTCTAGCTGATAAGAGTAGAGGACACAGATTATGTTCTAGATATTACACCGTTTGAAATCTTATCAGTAAATGCACTAAGTCGGATTTACATTTTCTAAGGAATTTCATTGGGCTCCAGTAATATTTGCGTGGAGTATATACTGCAGAAACAAAGTAGGGGTAGCCGAAAATAATGATGATCACTGAAAAATCATCGATATTGAATGACTGTAATGGATGCGGTAGATGAGAACAATTACGAGGGAGTACTCGGGGTTAGGCACTTTCATGAAAGAATGAAAGACGGCGGAGTTATGTCGTCAAAAACTGAACTTTTGAGATGATTTGGTCAAATGGGCCATGCCCCGGGATTGGTAAAATATTTGTTTATACGGTATGTTCTAAATGAATCTCCACGTGTGTGTGTGTGTGTGTGTGTGTGTGAAGTGTTTGTTTGTTGTTTTGGTGGTTTGGGGTTTTTTTGGTCATAGGGGTAAAGGCATTCTAAAAGTCACCTTCCATGATTAATCGGGTGAATCGTGAGTCATCTGGACAGTGACTCGACTCTATTGGTGATATCACCGTTTTCCAAACACCTCTGAAATATGTGCATGTGTTGCCTGTGTTGCCTCACGTGACCTCCACCAGCCATGTTTGGTGATTTGACTGTGAGTATACTGGGAGCCAAGATGCAGGTCCTACCAATATACAACCATTGTGTATAACTTCGTGGAAATTTAGCAAATAACTCAAGGAAATACAATCCACAAAATCATTTTACAACAACATTCATATAAGTTTTACATGTGTCTGTACTGGATTGACAAAGTGAGAGAGGGTTAGTTAGAACTGATGAGGAAATACGGTAAGGTCAATCAATCAATCAATCTTTATTCAGAACTGAAGGCAACATGCCCATAGTACGAGGATCGCTCAAAAAGTATTCGGCCCCACCTAGAAAATGATACAAATGTAGCTGTTTTTATGTTTTATTTTTCCACTCATTATCTGTCAACCCCAAGCAAATTGATTTTGCCATGTTCCAGCCTCACGATACCCATTTTGTTTGACTTTTTATCTTGGTACTTCCCCCAAAAAGCACAAACTTCAGGAAACAAAATATGCAAGAAACATTTTGTGTGTTCGAGAATGGTACAAGTCCGCTCGACTCAAACATAGATATTAAAGTGCATAAAAATGCAATTTGAAGCAACAATCGCTTGACTCCCCCCTTAATGTTTACTGAAAGAGCTTGTTTTGAGACGCTACCCATCCCCGGTCAGATGATGTAATCATAAGGACATAACTTATTCTAATGTTTTCACTTACTCATACCTGATACCAAGGGTTCAACCTAAACACAAGTGTCAGCTCACAATATATTGTAAACAGTACCAGCTTGAACATCTGGAGACAATGTTTTAGGAAGATTGAAATGGGGGTGTCCTTAAAACAGCCCCCGTCTAAATATAAATCAAGTAATCGAAATCTTTGTTGATGTCGCGAAGTCACCTAATACCATACTGAACATATGTTATATGATATTATCTGAGGGCATACCATTATCCAAGAGGTACCAAATGACAGATCGTTTTTCATTTTCTGCAATGTTTTTAGAAATATTATACCCAATGTGTTGTGATGACTAATATCTCGTCAACCACATTAACCACAAATGTGAAATTTTGGATATGGCTTTGCTAATGATTCCTTCAAAATAAAATGGAAGCCTTTCAAACATTGGTCATCGAGCATATAGTTAGGCCGACCACTTTTTGACCGACCCTCGTACAGGTGTCTACAATGTTCAACAGTGGTTTTCTCTTCATAATAGCATGAAAAATACTCAAAGCAATATTTTCAATCAATATACGGTTCGCAGTTAACAAGGCTATCCCACCTCCTAAGTGAGTGAGTGAGATCAGTTTTACGACGCTTTTAACAATATTCACGGCGGGGGACACCAGAAATGGGCTTCACACATTGTACCCATGTGGGGAATCGAACCCGGGTCTTCGGCGTGACGAGCGAACGCTTTAACCACTAAGCTACCCCACCGCCTCCCGCCTCCTTACATCACATGACAAACACTTACACACTGAATAAGGAATCGCATAACGCTGGTTTCAGCAATAGTCCACCTTAATTGCGGAGGCCTGTAGGTGATTGAGTTTGCCCAGTGATTGAATTAGTTCGATAACAGGCAATCAAGCGTTTGAGTATGGCTTTACGCCGCTTTTACCTATATTCCAGCAACATCACGACACGGGACTCCAGAAATGGACTTCACAAAGTGTAGCCATGTGGGGAATCGAACCCAGGCCTTAAAAAATATTTCCACCACCCTGGTTAAATATAGTGAATGAGTGAGTGAATGTGCTTTTACTTTAAGCAGTAGTTCAGCCATATCAGGGACATGGATTTACACGTAGAAAAACATAGGGACTCGAACCTGTTTCTGTAGCATGAAAAGCAAACACTTACACCTCTACCTACTCTCAGCGTCCATTAACTTAAAATATAAACATAACTGACGTATAAAAGAAAGTATACACCCTGTGCTATGGGATATTTCCCCAAAACAACGAAAGTATTTTGAAATGTGCTTTGATTGCGACTTACAAGCTGGAAAATAATTCGAGAACACAAGCTGTATACTTTCTTTTGTAGGGCAGGTTAGTTTATACTTATGTAAGTTTATTTCGCTTCATTTAGCAGGAACTTGTTTTAATCTTTTCTTCTTTTCGGATAATGTCGGAGTGACACACTCTTTTCTTCCGGTCCATGAAGAACTCCAGGATCCTCTGCACATCCGCCATGACGATCAACCCAATGACAAGACCCAAGATGGTAGCGCCGGAAGCTCCCATGTATCGCGAGGATGGTCTCACGTCAAACGCACTCGTCAAGCGCCGGCGGACAGCGGACAAGTTGGATTTGATGAGAGTGAGGCTCTGACGGTATCTCGCGATCTTCTGCTCGACGCTCAGGTTGATCTTGCCGTTGATTGGCCAGTCGCAATCGCACCAGAAGGGTTCGATGGTGTCAATCGGGGTCGTTTCCGGGATGATCACATAACTTGATGACGGGAAGCTTGTTTCTGTTGGCAAAGGTGAGATTTCCAGACTGGGCGTTTGACTGGTTCGATTGCTCTCCTGCGATGACAGTTCGATACTACTTGAGGTCTCTGTGTAAAAAAGACCAAACATTTTAGAATTATGTACATCATATCAAGATACTTTTCTCCGGAGTACCGGAGTTAGGCAACATGTCGAAGTACCAAACGAATTCCCACAGTTCGGCATTTCCAGCGGGGAACATAGAAATTGCTACTCGCTTGTAAGCGGGGTATATTGATTGGTTCAGCCAATCAGAAAACGAAATTTATTTGTGAGGTAAGATAAATGTCTATACTGCTATTAAAGATAGTATGAAAACAATGCTTACCAACGACAATCAAGGAGGAAGTCTCCATCGATGTCATCAAACTTGTTTCTGGTGACGTCATTGAGGTCATGACGTCAGATGAGGTCATGACGTCAGATGAGGTCATGACGTCAGATGAGGTCATGACGTCAGACGAGGAAGATCTATGGGTCCCCCATATGTTACAAGTTGTCACGACAACACACTTTAAGCCTGAGGCGTTTGTGGCATGCGCACTCCTGTACACAAGTTTTGATGACGTGGGATGCACAGGACGGGCTGATGACGTAGGATGCACAGGACGGGCTGATGACGTAGGATGCACAGGACGGGCTGATGACGTAGGATGCACAGGACGGGCTGATGACGTAGGATGCACAGGGCGGGCTGATGATGTAGGAGATACATGTTCTGATGACGTAGGATACACAGGGAGGCTATACGTCACATTATTCGTTGTACATTGGTTGTATCCGTCCACGTTGTAGTCACTTTCCGAGAGACGCTTGTCGTCGAAATCTAAAATGAAAACAATATTCGGTATTTGAACGGGATATACTGCAATATTTCGGTCCCCAAACAAAAGTTGGTACGCGTTTACGGAATTTGTCAAATCAAACACGGTCCACGCATGTAGCTGAACCTATCCCCGTGGTTATTTCTTCGACGCATCGCGAGGAGGTGGGGAAGCCGAGAGATTAAAGCGTTCGCTCGTCACGCCGTCACGTGGTTCGATTCCCCACATGGGTATAATGTGTGAAGCCCATTTCTGGTCTTCCCCGCCGTGGTATTGCGGCGTAAAACTAAATTCACACACTTGAGGTTTCGAGTGGACACCGGTGGATCGGTCGTCAAAGATATAGCATTTTCTTCTGTGAGAATACTGAGTATTAAAGTTCCAAGATTGTGCTTTTCTGAGTTCGAGTCCCAGATTCTTGAGAGTTCCGCAGTGTTGGAGAGTGATTAACGTCTGTGACCTGGACGCCACTCAGGCCTCTCCTCCGAAACTGACTAGCCGTAAATACTGTTCAAACCGGCGTTTTAGAAATCAACCACAGCGGAAGAGACCAGTGAAGATGCTGGCTAGGCCTCCAGCAACCATGCTTGTAAGAGGCGACTAGCGGGATTAGGGGGTTAAGTTCGCTGACTTGGTTGACACATGTCATCGCATCTCATTTGATTACATCGATGCTCATGCTGTTGACCACTGGATTGTCTGGTCCAGACTCGGTTATTTAAAGACCGCCGTCATAGCTGGCATATGGCTGAGTCCTGTGTTGAACAACAAACACACAAAACAAACAAACAAACAAACAAACAAACAAACACAGATAAAGAATAAATAAATAAATAAATAAATAAATAAATAAATAAATAAATAAATAAATAAATAAATAAATAAATAAATAAATAAATAAATAAATAAATAAATATGTTGTGTCAGAAACAACAGGAATACTTACTGAAAACCCAGACTCCCAGGTGTTCGTATCCAGTGGAAATGGCTACCTTCGTTACAGGTCCGAGGTCAGTTTCCACCTCAATGAAGGGGTCGACGCCGACCTCGAAGCCGTAGCCAGCGCTGAGGGGGTTGCTCCAACTGATCCAGAAGTTCTGGAACTTGCAGCAGTTGAGGGGACTGTTCGC